AAAAATTAAAAAAAAAAAAAAGAATATTAAACTCTTTCGTGACACAAAAATACAATGTACTGAAGTGAAAAAAGCAGGAAACAAAACTGTATAATTGGTATAAACCCACTGAAAACTGTACGTTTACATATAGACAGAAAGTACGGGGGAGAAATCTATCAGAACGTGAACCGTGTTGCTTTCTGGGTGGATGCTTTTATTGCCTTCTTTTTCCTTTTCCATATATTCCAACATTTCTAAGTGAGCATGTGCTATTTTGTGGATAAAATGCCCAACCAGGAATCGGGATTCCCAGCTGCCTGAGTCCTGTCACTACAAAGCCACGGCTATGAAGTAAAGGTTCAGAACAATCTAGATGGTGTTCAAAGAGAACGTTTCATCGAACATGGCATCCATTCAGCCAGCCTCTACAGAACTTCTCTATAGAACTAGCTACCACGCACTGCCCCTGGTGCCCTCCAGAGCCAGACCCCGGCCAAACTGGAATGCAGTTTGAGCTCGGTGTCACCTGGTGACATTTAATTTGCCCTTTTTCTGCCCAAGCTTTTAGTGACTTTCTATTCTTTCCCTACTCCTCTTCCCTCTTGTCAAACCCTGTTCCCGCACGGGACTCAAACGTGGTCAGATGTAGGTATAAGTGACTGGCAACATTTTAAAGGACTGCTACTCTCAGAGGGGCTTAACTGTGTTTGGAGAAAAATCCTCCCCTAAAGGAATGAGACCCTCATGGGCAAATTTTAGGAAAATCGGGTGGGAAGATCCCTGAGGGCTGTCAGAATCCTTGCTCTTGCGGTTCCCTCCCCAGCCCTTGCTTATTGGCCTGGTAAATTTTCCTCGTTTTCACAAACCAGTTCTTCCTTGTTATACTTTCCGTGTCTCTCCTGGGAAGCAGGGCCCTTGTTCTTTGTGCTCTGGGAGTACCTTCTAAGTTGCTCTACTCTTAACAGTGACCCCATTGCACTATAGTTTTTTATTTGCCCTTCTTCCATAATAGGTCAAGAGCCACCTTAGGGTCTCATTTTCCTGTGTCCACAGCATCTATCCCAAGACCTAACCTCTAAGTAACAGACAGATGACTGATTGATCAGCATTCAAGACCCTGAGTCAGGGAGTGACCTGCTCACCCTGTGGAGGGGGATGTTTCTGGGTCATTTTTCTTGTCATCCCTTAGAACGGCGGGCAAAATATACACATGACCATAGTTCCTCTGGGTTTTTAGCAGAATGGGGTGGCCCTTACATGACAGGTCATGAGCTCCTAATCCCTAAAGATGTCTCAGGTGTTTCAACTGGGGGGTAGCAACTAATAACTGTAGAATGAAATCAACTTAATAGGTTGGAATCAATATATATTTTTTAATGAAGACCAACAGAATAGACTAGAACAGAAAGAATAAAACAGAAGACAAAAGAATTTTGTTAAAAACCCAAGTATTTCTCCAAATAATAATCAGTATTGTCCCTTGAAATCTGTGTTTCCGTTGTGTATGTGTCCCTGAGTACTAGGTTGTGGTGAATTATGACACAGAGATACCAGAAGCCACCTTCCTGAACTGGCTGGAGGAGAGGAGCCAACTGTCCCCTGCACTGTCCACCCATGGCTGAGACCTCACTTCCTGTGGACATTGGCTGGGGGCTGCGTCCTTGCCTCTTATCCCCCTAAAGCCACCGCACTGGAACAGGCAGCGTACTTCCCTTCATGCAGGTCTCAGGTCCAGGGAATTCAGAGGACAAAATAACTGTTTTGACTATGAAGAAAATGTAGAGGCTTAAATCACTCTCTTTCTACCCATGGGATTCTTGGAATCAGTTTTGTCCTGGACTCTGAGAAAGAGCCTGTACCTGACAGGTACCCCCAACACCCCCAAAACCTCTCTCCATTCCCACCCCCCACTTCCATCCTCATTAAGGGAGCATGGTCTCCTGCCTGGTCGGGGCATCTGCATAAGTAGTGCCTCCCTCCAGGGCTATGCGCTTCTCAACCGTGAGTGTGATACAGCTGGCCTCACCAGGTCTGGGCCCGCGGCAGGGCAACTCTAAGGCAGACTCAAAGCGATCCTCAACAGAGTATCTAGCAGCTAACTGAACACTGTCTCATTTGGTTCTAGCAATATTGCAGTGCAGGGGCTAAGACCACCTTTGCCTGCACTAGTTGGGTGACCCTGGGCAACTTACCTTCTCTGTGCCTCAGTATCCCCCTGTAAAATAGGGATGGGAACTGTACCTATGTCACAGAAATACTGTAAGGATTAAACTAGCTAACATATACAAAGTGCTTAGAACCGTCTCTGTAAACAGTAAGCATTCACTAAATCTTAATTATGGTTACATAATTATCTCTTAAGCCTGTATTATAGATGAGAAAATGAGACCCAGAGGAACTAAGCAACCTGCCCTATGTCATGTGCCCAGGAAAGGCAAAGCCAGAATATAAATCTAGATCTCCCAACCCCAAGTTCTGTGTCCTTTTCCCCTAAGGATGCCCACCTCAGCTTTAGCACCCTGCAGGGCATCAACTATGTCCTATGGGTCTCTGCCAGGCACTCTTGGATCAAAGGGGCGTGAAGGGATGGTGAGCCCAGGGGAAAGTGCCTTCTCAGGGCCCTAGGTCTTTGCGGGAGATACATTCTTGGGGGAAAGTGTGTGTACGTGTGTGCATGTGTAGGTGTGTGTGCACGTGTGTTTTAATATGATGGGGCATCAGAAATGGGAAGTCATTGCTTGTACTGGCATTCTTTTTGAGTTCCAGGCTGCCAGACAGTGATGAGCATACAGGGTAGGATCTTTATGCCTTCAATTAACTTTTTCAGTCTCTCAATAACTGAGTATGGCAGTTTGAGACAGAGACAATGATATGAGCGAGGATTTCAGGGGCTGAGTAGCAGCTATGCTATACGTCCTGGTTTTTTTCCAGCCTGCAATGTTCCCATAGATAGCACAAAGATCTAAAAACTGTTCCTGCTTTCTCTTTGCATGCAACCCACAAGATGAACGTCCACTTGCAGCCCCCAGGATAAGCCTGAGACAAAACATAATGGTAGTGGTGATATTTTCTAAACGCTTAGTTTTTTGTCAACCTGAGCTCTCTGTAATGACCAGACCGCCACATATAAGTGCTCTGAGAATAGGTGCTTGTATGATGATCGGGAGACACTGAGGATTCTGAAGTACTTTTTAAAGTATCCAACATATTTGACTATATGTCACATGGCTTTCATGGAGTTTATTTGAATCTTTTTTTTTAAGATTCAAATCTATATGAGTTTCATACATGGTAACTCTCGTAATCACAATATTTGATTAAGCTGAGCTTTCTGAGGTGCTAGTTAACAAGCTGCTGTAATTCTCAAATGTCTCTTTCCACAGGTCTGTGCCTGGGCTGGGCACGGGGCTGATAAGGGATCTTGGTGACTACTAGAATTCCTGGCACTCACAGGTGCTCCTGAAGTGTAAGTGACCTTACACTGTCCAGGAGGCGCTGCAGGAATTGGCCCTGGAGCCCTCACCAAGGATTAGAGGATGGGCCCCACAGTGCCAGGCTTAACAGGCCATGTAATGCAGATAAAACAAGAACTGACTTCAGCATCTGCCCTGAACTCACACCAAGAACTTTCTGAGGCAAAAAAAAAAAAAAAAAAATTCCCGTTAATTAGTGAACGTGCAGCTAAAGATCTTCACACATGTACACTGTGCAATGTTGACTGAACCCAGATCACAAGAGACGAAGATCACTTAGTGATATTCCCCGGCTGACCCATGGAGAGAAGCAAGGTCAAAAGCCTCCTGTCTCTCCAGGATTGCGGCAAAAGTTCAGGGAGCAGAGAGTGGGGAATTAGCACACCGAATGAAACCAAAATCATCTCTGAATGCATTTCACCCAAGGCCACTTAACAAACTTTTAAAATTATCTCAGAAAAATAGTTGCTGGGACTATTGCCCTTGAAAAACCAAGAGGACCATCATGGGACAGATTTTAAATCAGACCCATGCATTGTGCAACACATTCGATTGTCCCTATTTTAGGAGTCAGGCCCCACCCTGCGTTGTTCACACACCCCAGCTTTGCAACAAAAATATCTTCAGATTCACATGAGACTAAAATGCAGCCGGACTTCAGGACACAGTCTCCGCTCCTGCGTTCCCACATCCCCAGGCCGCTGGCCAGCCCGTGCTTGCTGGGACAAGGTGGTCAGCATGCCCCCTGCTTACCTCCAGCACAATTTCTTTCAGTTGGAACTGTTTCTGCGCGACTTTGTCTGAAGACACGGGCTCGTGGTAGTAGAGGCAGAGCAAGTCGTATTTCTTCAAAACCTGCTTGAAGTTCTTCTCAGTGAGGCTTACCACGCGGTCCTTGCCGTCATACGTGGGGAAGTTGAGTCCCTCTTCTGCCCTGCAGGAGGACAGCAGGTAGACCCCCACGATGAACAGGTGCGTTCTCTTCATCTGGGAACAGTTTTCGTTTCACTTTCCCAGAAAGACTGAGGGCAGGAAAGTGGCCGGAAGACTCTCAGAGGTCTGGTTGCAAGAAGCGGGGGAGCAGAGAGGCAGATTTGGTCCCTCCTCTCTATCCCTCCTGGGCCCGGAGGACCAACTCTCCACTGCCTGGGCTCCAGCTACTAGTACTCCTGGGCACAGGACACAGGCGTGTGGAGACTGAGGGCTGGGCCGGGCCAGGCCCCAGATACCTCGCATAACTGGGCCCAGCCCCTGTCTCATCAGGAACTCCATTTTTAGGATGCAGTTGTCTCAGGCTAAAAATAAATCATGCAATGAATAAAAAAAAAGTTAGATATGACACTGTTGAGGGATTCGCTGATACAGTTTGTCAGAGGGGTAGCAAGGGAGGAGGCAGGAGGGAAAGAGGAGAACTCGTGCACAAGGAATAAGGAGGACAGCAAGGTCAGGGAAGAGAAACTCAAGAAGGAAGGAGAAAAGATGAGAGGGGAGAGAGATGGGACCGTAAACGAGACAAGCTAGTGGAGACGTCTGCATGTACACAGGGCCACCCAGGCCTCGGAATCGTTCAATTAAGGAGAGAAGTCAGCCTGTCCCCTCTGGGTGGGCTACCTGTCCCCCTACCTACTCATTGCTCACACAGTCCAGTCCAGGCGGACTTCACGTTCTGCACCTGCCTTTCCCTGCCCCCCATCCTCTCTTCTTGGGAACTGGGCCCCGGGTGGCCTCTGTGCCATGCTCACATGGCCCTGACAGGCACTGGGCAAGGGATACAGGGACACCCTCCCTGTCAGAACCCCTGCACTGGGGCCTCAGTTCCTCTCCTACCACCCCTGCCCACAGCTGAACACTGCTAACACCAGGAAAATCCATCTCCATTTTAAAATAAATTTAAAATACTTTAAATAAAGTAAAAGTTCAACAGTCTTCCTCAGAAATTCTCTTAAACTCTCTTAGATTATGACAGACCGTCTCTGTTATATCTCTTTTTTTACCTTAACCCCTAATGTGTCATTTTTGTCCCTTTCCTCTTCATTAAAGACAGACTGGTACACAGAGTCTGGAAGTTGGACAGATGACAGCTCCAATCCCCGTTCTGCCTTTTAATGGCTGGATGCACTTTGAAGCGTCACTCACTCTCTCTGGTTCTCAGTTCCTCCCCCTGCCTTGTTATGAGGATAATTATGACTATATTGTAAGGTTTGGAACACAGAGATGGAAAAGCATCGTACAAAGCAGGTGCGTGGTAGCTATTATACTTACTTCATTCTCACTGGAGATGGTGGAACATAGGTTATTATAAGACTTGTCAGTTTCTAATAATAGTGGTTTGTGAATCCTTTCCGGTCCACTTTCTCCTTGAACCAAGCAGGCAATTGGGGCAGAGTTGATAAGCGCTCATTTCACAGGTGAGCTAACTGAAATTCAGAGAGATCAGCAACTTGTCTGAAATAGCCTTCCTAACTGCCAGTGTGAGGATTTCAGGTGCTGCTGGCTGCTTTAACTATGACTCAGGGCAATTTCTTTTTTTTTAAAAAATTTTTTTTTCAACGTTTATTTTATTTTTGGGATAGAGAGAGACAGAGCATGAACGGGGGAGGGGCAGAGAGAGAGGGAGACACAGAATTGGAAACAGGCTCCAGGCTCTGAGCCATCAGCCCAGAGCCTGACGCGGGGCTCGAACTCACGGACCGCGAGATCGTGACCTGGCTGAAGCCGGACGCTTAACCGACTGCGCCACCCAGGCGCCCCGACTCAGGGCAATTTCTTAAGTGGTTCCTCGACCATCCTTTCTGGTCAAACAACAGGCCAGTCATGTCTTTCCACTCTTTAGAGTGGTCTATGGGTCTTAAAATTTGGACCAAAGTTTTGTCTTCCTTTGGTTGGAAAATCAGCTTTGGAAAGAGTGAGGACTCACTCACGCACAACATTTACAGAGGATTGAAGGAAAAGAGGTTTGTCATCCTACTCGAGGAAGACCAGGCCCCTCCTCTACATCCAGAGGGCCTTATGCTGAGAAGTAGGGTGACAAGGAGCTGTTAGGACACGTTCATGTCCAGGAAGCCAGGACCTTGGAGAACCCATCAGTGAAAACGTGAAAACCTTCAGTTCTTTCTAAAGGTGAATTCTCTCTGCTTTTAAAAATGGAGCCAAAAATAGCCATTCTAAGGCGTGGTTAACTTTCCAGGTCATTGGCAAGCACCAGAGATCTCTGCTTTCTTTAGAAAATTTCCCAGGAACAAGATTTCCGAGTGAAACAATGTATGTCTTGTCTTTTCCAGGTCAGTTTCCCAAACCTGTTCCCATTGTCTCAATCTCACAGGGTTACCTTTATTTAGAATATGCCCCACTTTTCTTAATATGAAAGGTTTTTAAAATTTTACTGAAAAATTTGGAAATATTTAAAGTCAGAGTCTTTGAATTTCTTGACTTGAAACTGATAAAAAGTACCAAGGAAAAGAAATACATTTGGAAAATGTAGTTTAAGCCTTCAAGTCTGGCTTCTGATCAACCGCATGTTAACAGAGAGAAGCTCTAGTGTGGAAAGTTCCAGTCCCCAGATCCTGGACTCTACTGGGGGCTTCACAGCCCAGCCCCGAGGACACATGCTGTAGAAATCAGGTTTCTCATATGGTTTCACTCTTATGTGGATCCTGAGAAACTTAGCAGGAACCCATGGGGGAGGGGAAGGAAAAAAAAGAAAAAAAGAGGTTAGAGTGGGAGAGAGCCAAAGCATAAGAGACTGTTAAAAACTGAGAACAAACTGAGGGTTGATGGGGGGTGGGAGGGAGGAGAGGGTGGGTGATGGGTATTGAGGAGGGCACCTTTTGGGATGAGCACTGGGTGTTGTATGGAAACCAATTTGACAATAAATTTCATATATAAAAAAAATAAATAAAATAAAATGTGTATGGGGTATGATAAAAATAAATAAATAAAATTATTTTAATGATGCCAAAAAAAAAAAAGAAAAAGAAATCAGGTTTCTCCCTGTCCACGGCTTTTTTAGGTACCAGTCATTTCTCTGGCTGCTTTTATTTTCCTCTTTTTGTTTTTTCTTTGCATTCTTGCTCACCAGCCTTAATTAATTCATTTTGTAAACAGGGAATGCTTCTGGACATTTCTGAGTCAATTTTGTATCTATCTACGAAATCAGCCCTCTCATTCGGGTTTTAACTGCTGCCCCAGTCAGTGTGGCACCCCCCCCAACACTCCTAGTTTGTGATTGTGCAGAAGTGTGTGTATCCTTATGTGCCTGTAGCAGTATTTTCGTTTCGTTTTGTTTAAACCGGAAGGGATAAAACAAACAAAAAAAAATGCAAATAGATGTTAATTATTATCACAATGCAGGCCCGTTGTTCTTGCCAGTTCTCCACTTTGTGAGAGGGCCCTACCTACAGTCCTTTAATCTAATCTAACCCCTTTCAATTCTTTATTCTCGTCAGGTGACAGAGTGATTTTGCATATATTATTTAATTTGATCTTTACAATAATTTATTTCACAGATTAATCAGGACTTGAAGCCATGGTTTTCCCTCTATTTGTTAATTATATTTTTATTGGGCATCTTCTACTTACCAGACACTTCTCTAGGTACTGGGGATTGGTCGCTAACCTGATTTTACATGAGTTTATAACCTCGACAGACGATGATCAAACAAGCAAAACGTAAACGCGGGGTGTGCGCACGCATGCGCAAGCACATGAAGGTGTAGGTGCGCGCATGCGTGTAAGCCTGCGCGTGCGCGCATGGTGTGTGCATACGTAAGGGCCAGTAGAGGCACATGCTTTGAAGAACAACGGAGAACAACGGAGAGTCCGAGACCGTGGGTAAGTGGAGGCACCTTTGGACGGGTGGTTGAGGAAAGCTCCTCTGGGAGGGGACGTGGGAGCAGAAGAGAGGGAGCCGCGAGCAGGCTGCCCAGGGGGAAGGCGCGAGCCTCCATGCTCCAGACCTGGGGGACTCCACCAGCGGAGGGCTGTGTCCGCCTCCCCCTTCTTCCGCGCTCAGACTGCACCTCCCAGTGAAACATGTGGATGGGATCTCACCTGCACTGGAAGGTCTACAGGGCAGAGACCCCGTCTGAACGACCCGGAGGCAGCCCAGCGAGAGAGCTTCGACAGGCGACAGGCTGCCGGGGGACCTGGGTTTGGGGCTGGTCTGACGCAGCCTGGCAGTGCGACCTCGGTCAGGACTCCTCCCTCCCCTCTTGGCCCTCATATTTCTCATTTGTGGGGGGAAGGGTCAGACTCACTGGTCTCCCCTGGTCCCTCTTTGGCTCTCAAATTTTTAAATTTGCTGAGGCTCGTAGAGGATTTTCTTTTACCAGGATAGGCCTTGGCACAGCCCTCAGGTTTGAGAAGTTTGATGACTGACTGCCTGCGGAGGAGGGTTTGATGGGCGTGATTCTGGACAAGTCCGGGCTTATCTTTCTCCCAGGACTTCACTGCCTCCAAAGGTCCCTTTTTTGGCTAAAATACTCCACCCCGTGGATAAAGCGGAGCATGGCATCTTTCTTTCTTTGATCCGGTTCTTCCCTCCCACTGGGCTGGGCCAGTGGCCCGCCTGCCTGTCTGATAGTCCCAGAAGCACTTGTGTCTAGGGCCCGGTGCTCCCCGCTCTCAGGCTTCCTCTGGTGGATTGGAACAGGCCTGAATTCAGGCCGTCCCAGGAGCCTTCTGCCCAGCACCAGGAAACTCCTACTAAACATACTAAACAGCACCGAGCAGAAAAAGACCAGTGCTGGTTGAAAAAGAGCCCCAAAGTTTACCAGTAATTAGTCCAAGTTGTAACTAATGACAGGTCGTCAGGGAAGCGCCCAGTGTAGACCCCTGGCTGACTCACTGACCTTACACAGTAGTTCTCCTTGGAAACATTTCTACCCTGGGGATTTGTTTCCCCCAGGTAGAATGAGCCTTAAAGTAGCCGTATAGTAGCAGATTACTGTTAACAGTAATCCTCAAAATCAGCCTGGCCTGTCACAGTTCTCACTAAATAGTCATTAAGTAAATTGGAAGCACTTAAT